TTGGGGGCGGGGCAGGCCCGGGTGCGGGGCAGGGCCCCGGGCCGGGGTGAGGGTGCCGGGCCGCACCTGACGCTCTCCTCCTGCTTTTTGCATCCGCCCGGGATCTTCTCCCAGACCTTCCTGCGAGTGCGAGCCAACCGGCAGACCAGGCTGAATGGTGAGTCCTGCCCGGCCCCTCCCTCCGCTCCACCCCCGGCCTCCTCCTTCCCCCGCCGCCTGCAGCTCCGGGCTCGCCCGGGCCTCCTGCACACGGGGGCCCTTGGCGTCTTCGCGACCACGGCTCCTGGGCACGTGCACCGCAACGCGACTGCGCTCAGTCTCCCCGTCCGTCCGTCCGTCTGTCTGTCTGTCGGTCGGAGGCCCCAGTTCCGCGCGCCTGCCCCAGCCTCCAGAGGAGGCCCCGAAGAGCCCTGGGGCGCAGTGAGTGCCAGAGAATGCGAAACAAGCCACACAATTCCACTCGAGGACTCAGCTTTGAATGTGCAAACCGCTGGGACCTCACTGTACAAGCCGGCAGGGTGCTGGGAATGTTTTTCTTCCAGTTTTTTAATCAGTGCCCAGTCGTGTGAATACAGCCTCTCCGCTGCGACTTGACAATGCAGAGAGATCTGGAGTTCCCACGGCAACAGGAACTTACGCAATCCCGGGCTCTTTGAGTTATCAGCCGGCCTACATTTCACAAAGGTGACCACCGTGGGCTCAGCAGCGCTTAGAGGCCTCTCACAAAGCAGGCTGGGTCTCGCTACCTGGTGCCCGCCCTTTTGGATTCAAGCCTCTGGAGCATTGCTGTTTGCCGAACACAATCCAGTGATCCTAGCTTTTGGTACTGACCGAGGTGTGGGCCATCTGGGACTCCGCCGGAAGAGGCTTAGGGTCCCTGGGCCAGGTGGACATCCAAGGCCCCCAGCTCCTGCCATTAGGGTACCAGGTATACCCTTATCTGGGAAAGCCAGAGTACTCATGAGCCGGCCCCGTGGTAAGCACCATACTCACACGTTTTGTAGAGCAAGAAACAGGGCAGTCAATCCTCAGAATGATTACAGGGATTTCTTTAAAATCCACGGCTGCAGTGTCGTGTTGGCTCTGATAGGAACAGAAGGTACTGTAGGTAGAGGTAATTATTCTCTAGCTAACTTAAGGGCTTACTACCGGGCCTAGGAAATGAGCACCCAGTGAGAAAAGCCAAGGCTGCCCTGCGTATATGACAGTGTGCCAGCGAAGCTCAGGCCACAGGGTGCTTCCCTGGGACGGCCAGGGACCTGCTGCTGTCTAGGCCTGGGCAAGGACTGTATCCAATACTATGCCCTCCTTGGCTGTTGTGTGAAGTTTCCTTGCTCAGGTGTCTTGAGCCTGTCCTCAGTGTCTGATCAGAGGCCTCTTTTTACCGTGGATGCGCTCCCTCAGACTCTCGGCAGGCTTGGGTAAGGGACCCTCAGGTTGGCACACTGCCCCCAACCGGGCTTCTAGAGCTCTCAACGTCCATCCCATGTTCAGTGCCCTTACGCTATCTAGCATCTCCTCTCCTTCCCAGCCTTCGAGCCTCAGATGGATGCCTCAAATGCCGCAGGTTAAGGCAACCAAGGCCAAGAGGCTGGGCTTGTTGCCCACCCAGCCTAGTGGGATACCAGACGAGTCAGCCTGTCGTGAAAGGGCAGGACACTGAAGAGAGGGGCCAGGCTCCAGATCGGCATTTCTCAACTCCATGCCTATCCTGGTGGCATCGTGACTTTCCTCTGGTGTGGATTTGTCGAGGTCTGGTCGGTTTGGGGAGTTAGAGTAGCTCCCTGGCTCAGACCCCAAACAAGCAGCAGCTGGATCCCAGTGCCTGGAGTGAGGTGTTCTTGCCTAGCCCACTCCCTGGGCTCAGTCTTTGTCTTGCTGATTGTTTGGGGGAAGGGGCGGGGACAGAGGGCACTTGTGCCTGGAGAACATTTTAGGCTATAGTTAGTCAGAATGGTCTCCTGTTGTGCCTTTGCAGCTTTTCAGGTTCTTGGACAAGTGACTCTGGGAGGCCTAGCTGTCTTCATCTGCTTAAAATGGGACAGTATGACTTAGCTTCAGAATAAAGAGTGAGCTACCTTGCACAGGACCCTTGGCTCCCAGCCTGACACACCGTCGGTGCTCTGAATTGTAGCTTGACCGCTCTCACCTGTGTGCCCCTCCCTGTACTGCCTTCGTGAGGGTCCCTGCCTTTGCATCAGAGTCAGAACCCATGAGAAAGCGCTTCCTGGCCCTGTAACCAGGAACTTTCCCCTCCTTGACTGGTTCCCTCACCTCCACCCCATCTCTCTGGTCTGAGAGGCCACCTGATCTGATGTTGCATCCAGGGAGGGGCTCGAGGGAATGGAGTCCCTTGTTTTGACCCCTTCCTGCTTCAGTGACAGGAGGGCTGCAGAGAGGGATTAGTGAGCTAATTAGAAATGATTGCATCTCTCAGCATTAATTAGCAGTGCTGTGGGCTTGCAGTGTGCTCTTTAGAACCGAGCCCCCTTCGGGACAGCATGGCAGGCAGCCCTCGGCCTGTGGGACCTGCCAGCCCCTCTGCACTGATTAGAAATGATGGAACAGGTGTGGGTAGCTCAATGCCGACTGCCTTCTCAAGGTGCCCTGGGGCCTGACCCAGACCCGCTCTACCTTTATGCCTGGGCCTCAGTGTCCTCTCCTGTAAAACAGGCCCAGTGGTCATCAGGTCAGTTCTTCTTGGGGTGATTCTAGATAGAATCTCTTGGCCCAGGAACAGCAGAGATTGAAGTGAGCGCCGGGTCCAACCAGACTCTTGGAGTGACCTAGGTTCTAGCCACGAGCCATTCTCTAGGGCTTGAAGTACATTCAAGATACCAGAAGAGCCCGTGGTCTCAGACTGGAGAGAGAACTGGCATCATGGTGTCTCTTTGCCCATTGGGCTCACTCACTGGACTTCAGAGGGGTGATGCCGCTTGGGTTTGAGCCAGCTCTGGCCAAAAAGCCACTGTTTGCCTGACCCCAGGCTCCTCTCCAGGTACTCTTGGCAAGACCCAGTTGCCAAGGGAAAGGAAGGGGCTGCCTGATAAGGGTCACATCGGGCACTGAACAAAGGGGCTCGGGGCAGCCGGCTGTGTTAGCCCTCCTGGGGCCCACGGGCTGCAGTGACCAACTGCCGGTTGTGTTCTTTGTTTTCGGTTTCTCCGTGCAGCTCGGATTGGGAAAATGAAACGGAGGAAGCAAGATGAAGGGCAGGTATGTCCCCTGTGCAACCGCCCCCTGGCAGGATCGGAGCAGGAGATGAGTAGGCATGTGGAGCATTGCCTTTCTAAGGTAGAGGGGCCACCGCCCTCCCACCCCTCCTTCCCCTCCCCCTAACTCGCTGCAGACGACCCCCAGATCTGGGGCTGCAGGGGTCTCTGTGTGGTCTTAGCAGCTTTGTCCTCTGTCCTTTGCCCTCTTGCCTTCATGCTCTCCCTTTCCCCTGGGTCCTGTGGGGAAAATTGCTGGGAAGAGGGTCAGTCAGGTCTTCCATCTCTAGACTGGTTTCCTTCAAAGGGGTCCTAAAACCGTGGGCCCAGCTGGGCCCGGGGCCGGGCCTTCCTGGCTGGCCCTGGGTTGGGGGGAGAGGGGGATCTGGCCGGGGTCCCGAGTGATCTTTTCTGCCCTTCACAGAGGGAAGGCTCCTGCCTGGCTGAGGACGACGCTGTGGACATGGAGCACGAGAACAGCACCCGCTTTGAGGAGTACGAGTGGTGTGGGCAGAAGCGGATACGGGCCACCACTCTTTTGGAAGGTGGCTTCCGAGGTACAGGCAGTGGCACTCTAGTGGCCAGGCCTCTGCTGGGAGGCCATCTCTTGGGGGGATGTGGGGTGGAGGGACAAGAGGCCAGGGCTGGTGGCTGCTGGTCACCCCTCCATTCCGCCACCCGGGTGCTGCTGCTGGCGGCGCTCCTTTGTGGCTGCACTGCCTGCCTGTGATGTGCATATTAAAACGGATGTATTTGGGTGGGGAATCGAAGTGTGCGGCTGCAAGCTAGGAGTGACGAGGGGGGCTCTTGGCCTCGGGTGATGCATTGAAGGTGACAGCCAAGCCGCGTTGGCACCTGCATAAAATATTAAAGGGACGGTTATGCATTTATCACTCCATCCCTCTTAAGGCTGATAAATGAGAATCCAGCAACCTGCTGTACACCTCCAGCACTGGGGCCCTGAGGGCTTCCAGGCAACCACATTGGATGTGCCGCCGCCCCCTCCTCCTCGGCCCCATGTCAGGGAAATCAGTTACAGAGGAGAGAGTGAGTTATGGCAAAATGTGACCTCCCATGAGCTTTATTGGTGAATCTAATTTTAGCTCTGATCCCGTCCCTTCTCCCTGGGCGCCCTCTGCCCTGAAGCAAGAAGGGCCTGAGCCCAGCTGCTCTCTGCTTCCCCTGGGCTCTGCCCAATCGCTACCCAGGGGTCTGCAGGCCCTGTCTGGCCCCAGTGCCCTCCCAGCCCCTCAGCGGGCCATGGCTCAGCCCAGTGGGAACTCTTCACTCCCACCAAATCAGACAGCAGAACCGGGTGATGGGCACTTAGGGTCAGCAGGCTCTCGTCACGCTGTGCGTAGGCAGGGAGTGGGGAGCTGCCTGCCTCCTGGCCTCAGGCTCTTCCCAGGCGGCACGTGAGCACAGCTGGCACTGCAGCTTGTGGTCCTTAAGTGAGCCCGTCTGCATCCCGTCTGCCTCCAGTTCTTTGGCAGCACCCTGGGGAGTGCTGCTGAGGCTGGTCCCTGGGGACTCAACCGCAGCACGGGAGAGGTCTCTGCCTCCTGGGGGCCCCACGGCTGGCACTTGTGCTGAGAAGTGGAGCGCCACCTGGGGCGTGACGCTGCTGATCTCAATTACCCCCTCCGGTGCCAGCAAGTCCAGGTGTAGGCAGGAAGGCTACTCAAGCGAAGCCACTTCCCAGAGCCAGTGCTCACTCCAGGCCTGTCCTCCCAGGGTGTCTACGTGTCCGCCAGCCACGGCGGATGAGCCACAGAGGCTGGGACCCCACAGAGAGTACACACAGAGGGGCTGGTGGCTCCCCATACAAGGTCTCACCTGCCATTGCTGTGGCCCCTTCTGAGTCAGGACCCAGCATTCGTGGCCCAGCACTGGTCCTGAAGGCTCCTGGGCACCAGCCGGAGCAGAAAGGGGTGGAGGCGGGGTAGCCCTGCGGCCCTGGGCTTGAGCTGGATGCACTTGCAGCCCGTGTCAGGGGCTCTTAGGCCCTGGGCGGGTGTCAGTTTTCCCTGAGTGTTTACACTGTGAGGTGGTTCCTTTCAAGAATTCCTGAGGGGGCTCAAAGGGGGCTTTCCTTTGAGCGAGCTGGAGAGCGAGAATGAGAGTGAGACTAGAAGAGGGAACAGGGGCCGGAGGTGCCTTTATCTGCAGAGAATTGCTCCAGCTTTCCTGATAGAAGCTGCTGCCGCCTCTTAAACAGCTTAGTGCAGTCAAAAGACGGGCCGACTTGAAAGGCTGTTTTACAGCAAGATCAGCGGGGGCCATGAGACACAGAGCAGGGCGCAGGGGGCTCAGGCTCCTGGGGGGGAGCAGTGTGTGTGTGTGGAGGGGAGGCGGAAGCTATCAAAGGGAGGCTGGCTGATCCCAACTGCCTCATCCCTGGACCCTGTCTGCAGAAGCCGACCATCTGTCGGTCTACCCTCCCTGGTCCGCACCAAGTAGCCCCCAACTCTTGGGGGGCTGGGTGTGGCCCCGCCAGGCGGGCTGGTGTCAGTGCAGCGCATTGATCGCCCGCCGGGTGGGCCGGGCCGCAAGCTGGGCAGCGCGTGCTTAATGTGATTGAAAGGCAGTTAAAATGGCGGTGACCTTTTCAGGAGGAATTAGATTGCCTGCCAAGACCGGTTAGAGGGAGTGATAACGCCGGCTGAAGAAGCTGCCCAGCAGACTTCAGAGAGAGGGAGGCAGAGGCAGGATGAGCCAGAGAGCAGTGAGGCCCACTTAAGCTGCTCTGTGCGTGCTGACAGCACAGAGATTGCTGTCCTTGTTAGATATGAAAGAATTGAAGGATTGCAGATAAGTTCCTGTACCCGATCATCCCTTCTCCCTCCCCAGACCAGGACCCCTTCGTCACCCTCCACAAAGCTTCCCACCAGGCCTCCTGCGAGGGGGCTCTTGGATCAGATCCCTCACCTGGAGTGTTGTCTCCTGTGGGAGGCTTGGTCGAGACGCTCGGCTGAGAGACCCGTGACCGCTGAGGGGCAGGCTCGGCCGTGGAGTTGGTGCAGTGGGGCAGAATCAAGGGCAGTCACCTGCTGTGTTAAAGGAAATGTGCAGGGACTGAGAACCAGCAGCTCCGAGGGAGAAAGACCGGGCTTTCTACTCCCGTAAACCGTTGCCGTCTGAGCGGGGACGGGGAGGCGGCTACGGGTCAACATTGATCCAATGGCAGTGCGTTTGCTTTGGAGAAGAGAAACAGGTATCGTGTCAGGAGAGCAAATTGGCAGAAATTTGGGGGATAAACCCTGAGCTGTGTGCCCAGTTGTGGCGTTTTGGTTTTCTAGCCCGTGCACCCCTCCAGAGTTGTGACTGTAAGGGGCCGGGCACAGAGCCTACTAGTTCACTAACATTCCCCTCAAGGAAATAGCAGTTAGGGGAAAGAGCCGAGTGGCTGTAGAGGTCATCCTAACTACAGTCCCAGGGAGAACCTCTCCTACTGTAGTCGGCAAGACGGTGTCACAGTCGTGCCCGACACCCAGCCACCTGGATCCTGGGCAGAGCGTGTGGTGTGGAGTCTTTGTCCATGAGTTGCCAGGGAGTGAATTTGGGGAGTCCAGGCTCGAGTGGCAGATCACACCTGAAAGGGATCGGCTGGAAAGGACAGGGGAGTGATTGGTGTCAGCGACATTGGCAGGGATGTGGTGGGCACAAGTGTGTTGGGTGGGAGATTTCCCAGGAGGCTGCACGGGAATTGGAAGATGGCAACAGCTGGATTGCTGAGCCCAGAAGGTGAATGCCTTGCTAGAGTCCAGCAGTAACCCCATTGAATCAAATAGAGGGGGAGGGACAACCAGCCGTGCAGGACACCTGGCCCAGAGGCTACATCAGACGTTCCCTTCTAAACCTTAGGCTGGTTCCAGGTAGGCTAGACTAGAGGACCGGCGGGGCCGATACACAGCACAGGTCTTTGAACTGTCTTTCTTGGTGAAAGCTCAATGCTAGTTTGTGGGACAGTCAGGTTTGGCGTACCGTGAGTCAAAAGGGCACAGGGACATTGGCCTTGCCCCCTCTGCTGCTGCCTCTGGTAAGCCAGCTTCCAAAAGATGGGAGCTCAAGATGCCAAAAGCATCCCCCAGCGCAGCCCGGCTGGTCCACTCAGTGTCAGGGGTTGGAGCCCAGCCTGTTGGAGGGAGTCTGGGAAGGGAGAAGGTCTGACTGCGGCCCCGCCCCCAGGTAGTTACAACTGTTGCCTGTTGGGAGGTGTGAGGAGAGGTGGCAAAGAGCAGGGGACCTTCTGTCCCCCGTGGCGACTGACGGGTTTAATCGCCTTTTGGAACACAATTGTTAAGCCAGGACAGCGAGAGTGCAGGCAGAAGGAGCAAGTATCAATGGTTTTAAACGGCGTCTGGTTCTGTGCGTCTCTCCTGACGTGAGGCAGTGAAACGCGTTATCGAGGAGGCCCGGAAAGTGGCTAAGTGCGTTTGACACACGCCAACTCCCTGCCTCCACACTGGATAATTGCATTGTCAACTGTTCAGCGAGGTGGCAGGTGACACTGCAGGCCGATTGATTGTCCCGCATCGCAGCTCCCCAGACTGTCAGCTCCCCAATCGATGGCGTTTACACAAGACACCGTAACTGCATCTGTAACTAATTCCAGTGTAAAACTCCGGAAGCCACTGCCCCTGCCCTCCGTTGGAGAGCACGGGCCGAGGCTCCCGGGCCCTCTCGCCCAGGGTTCTAGTTGTGTTGGGAGCAGCAGGTGAGGGAATCAATGGCTCCTTTTGTGTGTGGTTTCAGGTTCCAGGATGTCGCTCCCCGGGTAAGAGCGCCTCTCCAGTTTCTCAATCGATCATCTGATCAATTGATTAAATTAACACTGATTCTCTCCCCTTCCCCCTTTTCCTCAGTGGCCCAGGAAGAAATGAGTTTACAGGCGAGAGGTCGTTTTTATAAAATTAGACATGCTTGTTTCTACCCTTAACCCTCTCCCTCTCTCTACTATAGCATTCACGTGGAGACGGGGTTTTTTGTAGCTCTGCCCTGTGCACAAGACGGCACTCTGCTCAGTATCCTTGGTTATCAGGTTTCCTTTGTCGGTGGATGGTGGGCCAGCCCTCAGTGGTGCTAGGGGGCTCCAAAAACTTCATGGAGAAATAGAATTAAAAGATAATGGTGTTTTCCTGTGAACTTTTTGAAGCCCCCTTGTACCTTAGGGAGGGTAAGGGTCCTTCCTTGGTGACTAAATGTGCTCTGGGTCATCTTGGAGGTCGGGGTGCTGGAGCCCTTCCCTGATAGCAGCAGCAGGAGTGGCAGCTTGCCTGTTATCCACACGGAACGGGAGCCAGAGCCTTGGAAGCGCTCGCTCTGTGCCATCTTGCCTCTGAGTACTGGCTTGGGATCTTCCAGCAGCTGAGAACATAAAACAACCGCGGAGCCTTCCTCGCCACTCGGGAGGAGGGGCAGGCTGGCGGGGGCGCTGTCTGCATAAAACGGCTTTATGGCCGTTTCTTTTTATTATGATTCTGCCAGAAGTCAGCAAGTGACATTTCATTAAGAAAATAAAGTTTAATGTGCTGGGAAGGAGGGTGGAGCAGGCTGGGGCCACACAGAGTGAAATTGGTGGCAGCAGCCTGTTTGGAACACCTGTGGGGGCAGGGGGCAGTTCCCATTGTTGTCTCTCTCAGCTGGGTCCAAGGGCCGGGGCCAGGGCCAGGGCCGGGTCTGAGTCCAAGCCCACGACTGGAATCAGGCAGAAGGGCCTTTCCTTTGGTAAACAAGATGTGTCATCTTCTGCCAGCCTGGCCTGTCAGAGGAGCAGAAGACCACAGCCTAACTGGGGCCAGGTAGGAGGGTGACCTCTTGAGAGGTTTCTCCTGACCCTGAGTCAAGCAGGTCTCAGCCTGCCTCTGGTACTGGACTCCCCAGGTCCTGCTGGAACACTTGCCAGCCTTGAGCCAGGACTGCTGGGTGGGGTGGTAGGGCATCTGTAAGAGGACCTGGCCAGCTGGGGGCCAGGAGCTGGCTGCCGCAGGATCACAGCTGGGAGGCGACTGGGGACTTGACCGAAGGCTTTCAGTTTGGGAGGGGCGCTGGCCGTGCACGGTAGTAAATGCAGTCCAAAATGACCCAGGCTCTGGGTGAGTCCCAAGGAAGTGCCCCCTATGTGTCACTACCTGGAGAATGCGCGTCCACCGTCCAGTGCACCTTCCAGACAAGGACCAGAGCCTGCAATTCTGCTCAGAACCAGGACTTCAAACTGGCTCAACCCCCTACTGAGAACGAGCCTTCCGGCTCAGCTACATTCTATCAAAATCCACTTTTTAACAAGATCCCCACGAGAGTCACCTGGGAAAGAGTAGGGTCTGCTTCAGTATACCTACGGGCTGGGAAGGCTCACTCTCAGCTGAAGCATGGCGGGTGGAGGGTGTTATTGAACCCGAATGAACCAGTTCAAAGCCTTGTTCACAACCCCAAACCAGGGAATGAGTTCAGTCAAGGTTGGAAGACTGTTACGGGAGATGAGGTTACTTCCTTGAGCATGTTGTTAGGGACCATCAAGTCGGCTCTGACCCATAGCAACCCTACAGCACCCAACACTGCCACCCTCACTGTTGTGCCGGTGCTCGAGCCAGTCGTTACCACCCCTGTGTCATTCCATTTCCTTGAGAGCCTCCCCCTCTTTTGCTGCCCTTCTACCACTCATGAATGATGTTGTCACCTGACGTCATGTCCACAGCACATGCGGCCCAGTCTCGCCACCCTGGCCTCTAAGGAGCCCTCTGGCTGTACGTCTTCCAGGACAGATCAGTGTGTCCTTTTAGCAGGCTGTGGTACTTTCGAGATTCTTCGCTGGCACCCCAGCAAGTCGTTAGTACTTACAGAGCATCCATTCTGCGTTCACAGCAGAAGGCATGTGGAGTGGAGTCAGACACGGAAAAAGAGCAGGCGTTTGTTTTGCAGACCAGCAGGGTGAAGGTTCTAGGCTGAGAGAACAGGTGGCATGAAGGACTGGGGAGCCTTGCAGGCCCATGTAGAATCAGGGATGCCACGAAATCTTATGTTCCCTGGGGTGAGGGTCTTGGTTGATGGGTCAGACTAAGTACCGTCGACAAGGCTGCAGGCCACTGAGGCTGGCACTTGTCCCAGCAGCCACGGGGCCCTTGGAACCACGCTGGCTCCGGAGTGTCAGGGTTCACTGCGCTGCTTTTCCCACATGCAGACGGGCCGGGCTGAGCCGAGTGTGCTTGGGGAGGGGGGGTTGGCAGGGCTCGGGGGGCACAGGCTGTAAGTGAACCTGATGGCTACATTCTGATTGATGGCAGAGTTTGTCTCCCAAACTGTCAGAGGGTTTATAGAGGTGCCACTCACCGACAAGGCGGGAATTGCTTGTCAGGACACCTGGCCGCCAGCAGGAAACAGAGCTGTAACTTGGTGTTTTCTCAGCTTAATGGCCCTGCTGCTGACCTGCCTGCTGCCTTGTTGGTTGCTGCCGCCACTCAGAGGGAAGGCGCCGGCTGTTGGGGAGGGCGGGGCCCAGCAGTTCCTGGCCTCTTGCTTTCCTTGGTGGGTGGAGGGAGGGGAGGAACCTTCCAGAGACTAAAGACCAGAAGAGGTAAAAAAAAGGAAGATCGGGAAGAAATGGCCTCTGTCAAGTGCCTTAAAAGATGGAGGGGGAGAACATGCCTGGTGGAGGGAAGAGCAGGGCAGTGAGCCACCTGTCTGCTCCCAGGCATGACGGAAAGGGAGGAAAGAGTGGTGGAGAAGCAGCCCGCTGAGGGGCGTGGCATGGTGCTGGGGAGCCCCATACAGTGTTTGAACAGGAAAAGGAGGGCCCAGAACCACATGATAAGCAGATGAGGGAACAGGTCTTGTCTGCAGGGAGACTGGGCAAGAAGAAAAGTCTGAGGTCATTGGGCAGCATGCCTGCACTGCGTTCTGACCTCTAAGCACTCCCTTGCTGTCCCTGCTCACCAGAGACTGCCTGTCCCTTCCTTTTGACCCTGCCAAGGCTGCTGTGCTGAGATGTGGGCTGAGACCTGCGGGAGGCAAGGAGTTGTGGGTCCCTTGAAGGGTGGCCCGGGGTCAGGAAAGCCACCTTCACGGACTAGTTGAGAGTGCAAAATGCGTTCTGGTGGGGTTGGCGGACGCATGGCTCTGGGCTCTGCCTCAGCTGAGCTGGCTGCCTTCACCGGCTTCTTAGAGAAGCAGGTGTGCATGCCTAGCCTCCCTCGTCTGTCCCTTCCTAATCCCTTTATAACTGCACTTGTCCAGGAATCTGGGCTGAGTGAGGTGGAGATGAATAATTAATGTCAGGCGCTTCAGACACCAAATATTTGAACAGCTGCCTGGTGTTTTTGCTGGCTAGGACCTGGCGGCCAAAACCAGGACATTGGCTGGGGGTCTCGATCTATGGCTCTGACTGGCCTGGCTCTGGTGGCCTCCTCGGGCTGGACTGTGGGAAACGGGCAAGATTCAGGTCCTGAATAGGGGTGATCTTCTAGACCTGTCCTCCTCTTCCTGGCGGGAAGGTTAGTGGGCAGTAGGCCTGGGCCTAGGTGTGTCTTGGGGACCTGGCAGGGTGTGTGAAGGGGCTGCGGTTTGGCAGCAGCAGGCAGCGCAGAGGATGTGGGCTTTGTGTGCAAGGCCCGGAGCGCCTTGAGCCTGGTATCTGTGTGCACCCACCTCCAGGCAGCAGAAGGGGCCCCCTCGGTCTCCCTGTGCTGACCCTAGTGCTCCTCACCTCCTGCTTCCCACAGGCTCCGGCTTTGTCATGTGCAGCGGCAAAGAGAACCCAGACAGTGACGCGGACTTGGATGTGGATGGGGATGACACACTGGAATACGGGAAGCCACAGTATCCTTGGGGCACAGTGGGGTCGGGGTCCGGTGGGCTGGTAGGGCAGGCCGAAGGGCATGAGGAAAGCTGCTAGCACCTGTAGTCCTTGCCCCGCCCAGGGCAGCATCTCCTAGCTTTGGCCTGGGAGCTCACCCCTTCCTCCGGAGTCAGTCCTCAGGGCCCACTGCAAGCTCGGCTCCCTTGTCCTTGACCACCATGCCAGATACACGGAGGCTGACGTCATCCCCTGCACTGGCGAGGAGCCTGGAGAAGCCAAGGAGAGGGAGGCCCTCCGGGGCGCAGTCCTAAAGCAAGTGTGGGCCCTGGGCATGGGTGGATGGTTGGGCCCTACCCAGTCCCCACCCTCTGGGCTGTCCCACCTGTGGGCAGGGCTCATTTGGTTCTTTTCTCTCCTCGCCCACCTCTAGTGGCGGCCCTCCCAGCACCCGAATCACCCCCGAGTTCTCTAAGTGGGCCAGTGATGGTAAGTCCTGCCCTAGGCTGGGAGTAACTAGGTGGGGAGGGGGCCTCCTTGGATGGTGCTGTTTGGCCTCAAACTGCCCAGTCTGGTCAGCATGTGAGGGGTCCCTCTGTCCCAGCAGAGATGCCATCTACCAGCAACGGGGAGAGCAGCAAGCAAGAGGCCATGGCCATGCAGAAGACCTGTAAGAACAGTGACATCGAGAAGTGAGTGGGGGTGGCCCCTCCAGAGAGCGGCCTAGTACCGCAGCCCTGGGCATACAGCCAGCCTTGGGGCCCAGCTGGTGCTAAGCGTGACTCGGGGAATTGATCGCTGGGCCACGGCCCCGGGAGCCTGGTGGAGGGAGGAGCAGTCCGCCTGCCTGCTTGCCTGCCCGCTGCAGCGGCCTCCGCCCGGGGAACGTGATGTATGGCCACCCGGCCCAGCCGGCGCATTTGATTCATCTCCAGTTTCTGTTTCTTAATCGGGAGCTAAATTGGTTTCATTTTTCTTGTCCCGGGTGGCGCTCGCAGTGGGTTTTAGGCAGGAGCATCGGGCCTCGTCACTTCTGGTAGGAATTTGTGGGCGCTCTGGCAGGGGAGAGGAGGCTGGTGGCATTCACCTCGGGCTGGCCAGCCTCTGGCCTGCATCCCAGGAGCCACAAGAGCTTGGAAGTGGCAGGCACCACTCCCTCCGCTTCCTGAAGCCCAAGCAAGGACCCTTCTGGCCCCCAGAGGGCCTTTGCCCATCCAGCCTCCCTGGGGCTGAGGCGGTCAATTCACCTGACTCCCTGCACGCACCTTTCCGCCAGGAGCTAGGTTGCCTGGGGTTAAAAGGCAGCCTCTTCATTCCCCGGCCAGTGTTCCATCTTGCCTCCTGCCAGCGGAGTGGATTGCAGGCCGGCCAGGGCGGGGTCGGCGGCCCTGGGTCACCTCCCATTTGTTTCCCTCCATTTTGTGTTGTCATAAATTCATTCCAGCCCGTTGTGGTTGATCAGTTTATCTCGGCCGGGGCCACGAGTGCTGCTGGCATGATGTATGGGCCGAGGCGCGGGGCCCGGCTGCCCATGAATCACCGCAGCTGCTCCGTGTCAGCGCCGGAGCGGGCCGCCCGGGTTCGGTGCAACCAGCTTGAGGCGGGGGGTGGGGGGTGGAGGAGGTGGGTGCGGTGGGAGTGGGGGGAATGACGTATGGATGTTTATTTAATAATTCTCTCCTACTCCAGCTGAGCGGGGCAGGCGGGGCCATAAGGGGCGCCCACCCTCGTCTGGAGGGGCTGCTCATAAATCAGAAAGACAAGATCATTAATCAGGGATGGCGCCCGAGGGGAAGGCGGGGGGCCAGAGCTGGTGCTCTCCGTGGAGCTGTTACCCACCCAGACTTGAGGGAGTCAGGATTTCTACCCCACCTGTGTGAACACAGGACACTGGTGTGCGGGCTCTCCGGGACGAGGCGAAGACAGGTTCTGGCCTCTGCAGTGGTCTTCTCGGGACCTGGGTCTGCCAGAATTGGGGTCTCTGCCCGGTGTAGAGGAACTGTTTCACAGCCTAGGGGAGAGGCAGGCTGCTGGGCCTCCTCTAGGAACCCCAACACCCACCCCACCCCCCCAAATCAACAAAGTGAGGACAGGCTGACTTGCACTTGCTAATGAAGAGTTTGGGCCACCCATTTCACTATAGATTAGTAAGCAAGCACAAGTCTGCATGTGCTTACCTGGCTGATTGGATTGTCCAACACTGGCCCAGGAATAGCTGCTGACCAGCCTGGGTCAAGGGCTGCAGGACTGGATATTTCACCAGAGCAAAGGTGAAAAGCTGGGTGGGTGTGAGCACCATCAGGACAGGGTAGGCTCGAATTTGGCCTTGGCCTCGCTGGGCCTTAGGAGGAGCCAGAGTGATGGAGTGACCAAGTGCTTGAATGCTAATGTTCAAACCCATCCGCTACCCCAGAGGACCTCTCTGCGTCAGCATTGACTGAGTGGCAGTGGGTTGGTGGCCCAGGGCTCTCGTAGGAGTTGTGAGACATGCCATCGTTCTGGCCCTGCCCGTTTGCACACACTGGTTGATTCTTGCTTGCTCTGGGCCTGGGCGTTGGGAGGTGGTGCCTCACTCTAGCATAGGCTGCCAGCTTTGGTTCCCTCCTCTTGGTAATACCATCTACCCTCAGCTGAGTCCCAGCCAGGTTCCTGGAGAAGATGGGAGCCTCACACTCCAAGCTGACCTGCAGTGGTCAGTCTACAGGGCTGGCTCTTTGGGCCTTGGCAGAAAGCGAGGAAAGGGGTCAGCTTTGCCAGTACTTGTGGAAAGGGTGGAGGGCGGACGTTCCAGAACTGAAAGGTTGAGTGAGGAGCTGGCAGTGGGCCTTTCTCGGCTCCCTTGGGGCGGGAACCGGCATGGACCCTGGCATGCAGAACTTCCCGGACATTGAGGCACAGCCACGAGGAGCTGCTTTCGGTGTCACTTTTGATGTCCTTGGAGAAACGTCCATCCCAGTTTGTACCTGCCCGTGGGATCCTGCACCTGGTACCCGTCCCTCGCCCCCATTAGCACGTGCATCCCTCAATGATGGACAGCCTGTATGCTTTCCAGCTTCTGAGCCAGTGTTCTCAAGCTGGCAGCCGCAGTCACCCCAAGAGGGACTATCACCCTTGTGACGTGGCAGTGGCCGCTGCGCTTCCGACTCAGTCCAGGCTGTGCATCCTGATTGGAGAAGCGTGTGACTCCCCGCTCGCTCGACTCTGCCACACCACTCTTGCAGCAGCCGAGGGCCAGCCTCTGACACAAGCGCTTTTCACACGTCAGCAGCCCCTGCTCACCTGAGTCCACTGGATGCACACGGTGCAGCGTTGGAGGGCTAACTACAAGGTCGTCTGTTTGAGCCCCAGAGGCTGGAGGACCGCTGCCCTCTGCTTCAGTAAAGACTCAGACGCAGGAGCAGTTTTAGTCTGTGCTATTGGGTTGCCAGGAGTCGGAACGGGCCCTTGAACAGTGGGGTTTTTTGACAGGCTCAGTCTCTCTGCTCCTGTTTCCTCTCCCTGGAAACCTGTCTTCTCCCCGATACAGCCAGTGCCATGGTTGCCAGCACAGTTAACAGTTGATCCGGGGATCCGTGTGCTAGAGTTTGAATCCTACCCCGGCCACTCTCTGAACCTTGGACTATTTGCTTTGAGCTTGTACCTTCGTGGTTCTTAGACTTCTCGTGAAGTGTTGGTGAGGAGGAGGAGGAGTACCATGTTACTTGCCAACCCCTTAACACCCACCAGGACCCAAGCCTGTTGCAGTTGGATCCGTTCCAACTCATAGTGCCCATCAGGTGCCCAGGCTGTAAATCTTCTTTGGACACTGATTCCCACTTCTGTCTTCCTCGGAGGGGCTGGTGGGGTTGAACCACCCACCTTTGGGGTTGTAGCTGAGCGCATTGTGCCACCAGGCCTCACTCAGACCCCAGTCAGCTCCCTTTCCTTTGTGCTATTGTGAGCTCTCCCCCAGACTGGCTCCAGCACCCTCCTTCTGCTCCAGGAAGGGTTCCTCACGGAGCACTGGGCCTCCTGCATCCTGTGCTCATTTTAGGGAAAGCCGTGGTGGTGTCATTCCTTGGGGAGTTTTCGGGAAACAGCCTAGCGCACCGCAGCCCAGTGTCATTGGGACGTTGCGGTCCCCTTGCTTGAGCGGGGCTTGGGCTGTGGGGCCCCCCACATCTTGTCCTTTCCCTGCTGGTTGGCTGACTTTTCATTAGCCAACATACCTCCCTCTTCCCTCGTAGACCATGCCTAGCGTGGGGCCAGGTAAGGTCTGTCGTAATTGGGGGTTGGGCAAGGAGACAACCATGGGCAGTTGTCGTGCCGTGCTGTCACTGCTGTGGTGGGAGCATGCAGGGGCGAGAAGCACCGGAGACAGCCGCTGGCTGGACTGGGGGAGGTGCGAACTAGCCAGGGAATGGCGCGGTCTTCACCAAGTGCGGCAAGAACCGTTCCGAGCTCGTGAGGACCCGCAGTAGTTGATGGTGGATGGAACATCTGGGAGGCCACTGGCAGGGGCTGGACAGGAAAGGCCTGTGAGCTTCATTCGAGTTTGGGAGAGCTTTCTTACCTCTGAGGGAGCTGAGCCAGTTTAGGAGTCCATGGGATGAGATTTGCATTGGAGGATGAATGCTTGAAGGAGGTGGTGGCCTGGTTGTCCTGGGGAGGGTAGTGAAGACATCCATAGAAGTCATGAGGACCAAGACTCAAGGGTGGGGGGAGACGAGGCCCGTGGCAGATACTGAGAGAATGGTTGGAAATGGTTCCCCTGATCTGGTTTGGAAGTTGACTGGGGGAAGGTGATTCCAAGAGGTACCGAGAACTGGCCTGGCGGTCGGTACATGCAGTCTGCGGGCAGGATGCAGCTCTCGGCGAGGTTCTGAGTCCACGTCGGACGGAGGTTCCTACTGTCCGACTGTGCCATCCTCTGCCCAGAATCACCGAGGAGTCTGCTGTGACGACGTTTGAAGCCCTGAAGGCTCGGGTCAGGGAGCTCGAACGGCAGCTGTCTCGTGGGGACCGTTACAAATGCCTCATCTGCATGGTGAGTGGAGGGGGTCAGAGCAAGGACAGAGTCCTCCGTGCTCCAGTGCCCTGTGGGCTTGGAGGGGGTCTCGGTGCTGTGATCTGGGTCCCTCTAAGTGGGAGGCGACCTCAGTAACCTCTTCCCCCCTGCCTCCTCCCTAGGACTCCTACTCGATGCCCCTAACGTCCATCCAGTGTTGGCATGTGCACTGTGAGGAGTGCTGGCTTCGGACTCTGGTGAGGGGGTGTGCTGGGGGCCGTGGCGGGGGCTCGGGCACTGCCAAATGCCTGTGCTTTAGGAGCATAGAACAGGGTCAGCACAAAAGCTTACAGTTCCTCCCCCACCCTACCCCTACCCCAGAGGATTCCCTGGATCAGGCCTCTTGGTGAGCCCTGAGTCAGGAGGAGCCTGGTTGTTGGGGAGCAGCACCCCGGCCTCAGCCCCTCCCATTACTAAGCTCCTTCTCCTTCTGCTTCTGCCCCTGTTCTTCGCTCGGGAGCAGCCATTAAAATGTCGCCCGGAGACAGCAATAAAGGCCCGGACATGGGCTCTGTGTCCTGATCAAAGGCCGTGTGTAATCTCGTTAGGGCCGAGGCAGCCACAGCTGGACCCAGCCTTGTTCTCATTACCGGGGCTCCCGCTGCGGGGCTGGCCAGGCGGTTTGATCCTGGCACCCCCCAACTCAGAGGCCTGCCTGCCTGCTTGCAGAGGCTGCCTGTGCAGCCGGGGCTGGGAGAGAAGACCAGGACCTAACAGGGCAATGCAGGAGCCATAGCTGCGGGCCTGGGTGCCCCTGTGAGGCCTGGGGCCCCCGTTTGTAACCCATGCTTCCCCTGCCCTCCCTACAGGGTGCCAAGAAGCTCTGCCCGCAGTGCAATACGATCACAGCGCCAGGGGACCTGCGGAGGATCTACTTGTGAGCGCACCCCCCAGCCTCGCCTCCTGCAGCCCCACCTGCCCCAGCCTCTGTGACAGTGAGCCTCTCCCCGTGTACATACTTGCACACAGGTTCCCCTTGTACATACATGCACATACACACACACATACACACAGGACTCTGGAGCCAGAGTGGAGGCTGTGGCCTGGCCCTGCCGGCTGTTCTAGACTACCCCGGGTGAAGCAAGGGGTGGTGGAGGATAGGGGAGTAAGGCTCCTGAGATCCAGCCCCCAGACTGACCAGATGGACAGACATGCAAACACCAGACTGAAGCACATGTAATATAGACCGTGTATGTTTACAATGTTGTGTATAAATGGGACAACCCCCTCCCCCCACCCCTTGGTTGTATGATTTTTTTTTTTTTTTAAGAATATCTGAAGCAGTGCCTCCCTCAGGGCTGGCTGGGGGCTCGGCCCACCCACCTCTTGGGGTGCCTGCCTCCCCCATCCCCTCCATGGTGCCCTCCCTCTCCCATGTGCTCGATGTTCAGTGGTGTATATTTCTCCTCCCGGACATGGGGCACACGCCCCCAGGGACATGGTCCTCTCCTTAGTCTTAGCTCATGGGGCTCTGTTTCAGAGCTGGGGGCAGGGAATGGGCACCGAGCTGAAGCCAGGGCTGGCAGTACAGCTGGATGCGGTGTGCCTGGCTGCCCAGCCTCCTGCCAAGAACTGCCACTGGGGTCAGAGCTCTGCTCCCAGGAAGTGTCTCCTCTCGGGGCCCCATGGTGTGATGCTGTGTCTGTATATTCTATACAAAGGTACTTGTCCTCTCCCTTTGTAAACTACGTTTGACATGGATTAAACAAATATAAACAACTGATGCAGTGTGTGCGCGTGTTGTGTGTGGAGGGAAGGGCCCATGATAGGGCTGGATAGGGCAGTCAAGGGGTTAACCCTGGCAGCAGTGCAGCAGACACCTGCTGGGGTCTGTAAAGCCAGGCAGGGTGCTCTGGCCAGGGACCCTGCAGTGCTTTGGCTGGGAAGGGTGGGGTGGGGGGCCGGGGAGGTCCGGGCTCCTGACTATTGATGGGTAGGGGCTCCAGGTTAATTCCTTATCGATGCAGAATCGTCAGCTCATTAATCACAGAAGAGGTCAGAGCTTGGGGGTACAGAGGGGATGTAAGCTCAATCCCCCAACCTAGGTCAGAAGCAGCCCACAGCTCTGGCAGAAGCCCAGGCCCTGGACCTCCCTCCCTGTTCCTGAAAGGTTCCAGAGACAGGAATCAACCATCTCAGCTCCCTTGGGGGTGGGGGTTAGGTTAGTTGTTCCCACGCAGTATCCGAGGGTCCCACCCAAGTCTTCAAATAGAAATGGTGGCAGTTCTGTTAGGACCCTGGAGAAGAGAACGGAGCTGGACAGCTAGCATATGACCAGAGCCCTGGCCCGCACTGCCCCGGTCGGTGCCCATGCTCCATGAAGTGAGGTGGGACAGCGGCCTGCATGGCATGGGCAGCCTCAGAGCTGCAGGCCAGTCCACCTGCAACAGAACAGTTTGGAGAGTGAAGAGCTGTTAAAATTCAAGCGCCTCCTCCCCCCCCCAGCAGCTCTGCCACTGGAGTGTCCTGGGCATGTCCTCACAGGCTTGCCCTCCCGATGCCCACCAGTGTGCATGGCAGGACTGGCTCCCACTGCACCCAGGTGACAAATCTCCGTTTGGAACCTGGGGAAGCCCTTCACAATCACGTGCCCAGCTGGATGGCATCCATTATCGAGACGCAAAAGATCCTGGGGCTGGAGGTGCCAGGGAAGGACTCTGGTCTCAAGGTGGTGGGTGGCTGGGGCTTGGGAAAGGAGTGGATGGGAGACAGGGCCGGTGGAGAAATGAAGAGGCTCTCGATGCCCGGCTGCTCTGATGTCTCTGCTCCCCCTTTCCCTGCCATGGGCTCAGTGGGTCCTCGATGGCTGGTTACCCCCACCTGGGGGCCGTGTGCCCTCTAATAGGGGCCATTAACCCAGAGTGAGGGCATCCACTGAAGGCTACCCAGCTGTGGGAATCCTGTGCGCTGATGGCACAGGCGGCACTGCCACCTGTTGGCCATGGCTAGGAATGCAGCCGCCCACCACAGGCATTGCTGCAGTGGGACTCAGGGAGGAGGCAGCCAGGGCTTGGCCCTTGGGGACTGAGGGGCCACCCCCCTTACCCCAGAGCTGCTCCAGCTATCTCCTGCCCTTACTGCCAAACGTTCAAAGCCCAGCCCCGTCGCCATGTCCCTTGATCACCACATTCAATCAAGGACTTACTGAATAGCATAGCCCTGGTGGCACCGTGAGATCAGCATTGTGCTGCCAGTTCAACCTCAGCAGTTGCTTCCCTGGAGAAAGGGGTAGGCTGTGTGCTCCCATGACCCCATGGGGCAGTTCTCCACCCTGTGGGGTCGCTAGGAGTTGGAATGGACAGCAGTGGGTTTTGGTTTGGTTTCTGATGATATTCCAGAGTGGCTCGCAGAATGACTGAAGACACAGCGCTAGAAGGCGGAGTCTACCCCCTGCCTTGAGGGTTTCCAAGTGGGCGGGTGTCAGCCTACTCCTGTTAGCCTCCCTGCTCCCCCCACAAGCTCTCTGCCCAGTGTGCTCACAGCTGCCAACTCCCTGGGTCCAGTGACTTCCCAGCGAAGGCTGAGGGGCCAAGGCGGGCTTCCCACTGCAGCATCTTCAGCTGCTGTCTCAGAAGCCCTGGCTCTGTCAGCGGCTTCTGTGAGAACTGCCAGGGGGAACCGTGGGGATATGTGGCTTTTTGTTGGGCAGTTTGGCCTTGCTGGGACCCCAGAGCCCAGAAGGCATTCGCTGTGCCCAACCAGCCCTGTGGCACTAACCACAAGCTCCACCTTGGGCTCATCCCTGCCCCTCCGCCCTTGGACAGCCCTCATAACCTAGGTGCCCCAGGGACCAGCAGCCTGCTCTGCACATGGGGAAGTGCAACCAGCGGCAAGGCTCCCACAGAGACCTGCCCAGGGCCCCCACCCCCTGGGAGCCGGGGGCTGGGAGTCTACCAGGAGTTCCACAGCATGGAGACCCATAGGAATGTCATACTTGGGGGGCCACACAGCCTCAAAGGACCACAGAACCTGAGCCAGAAGAGGACCCCACGGTGTCGGGTGTGGCCTTTATTTGGGGAGCAGCGGTGTGGTGAGGTGGGGCGCTCAGTGTTGGACGCAGCTGCGCATGAAGCTGACACACAGACTGGTGTAGTAAGTCGGGTAGTCACGGAGGTGGCTGACGTGGGCAGATGACACAAAGTCCACGGCGTTCACCAGGACCTGGTGTGCCTGGCGCGCCTCCACCATGCGCTCCACATCCCTGGCCAGCACCACCTCGTCGGCCCGAGAGTAGAGGTAGAGCTCGGGCCAGCGAGAGGCCGAGTCCTGGAGCCTGTCATAGAAGTGGGTGTGGAAGAGGGCGGTGAGTGGAGCAAGCAGGATGTGGAACAGGACAGCTACCAGGGCGAAGGCCGCCAGGAGCAGCAGGCGCAGCACGGCAGCACGGCGCTGCAGGATGGTCCCCAGGGCCCGCAGAGCCCCCACCAGGTTGCTGTCTCCAGGGCCGCTGTCGAAGATGGTGCCCACCACACGCAGGTGGCAGAAGCGCCGCTGGGTGAAGAGGAGCTCCAGCACGTAGCGGTACAGCATGACGCCCGCATTGCTGAAGACGTGGAAGAGCAGGGGCTCCTTCTCGATCTCGTAATCAAAGAGCAGCTCGAGCAGCTTCCGGGCCAAAACGCGCAGTGAAGGGATGCCCAGGGACTCGGAGAAGAAGACCATGTGCCACGGAGCTGTGTATCGGATCACGATGCAGCCCTGGGGAGAGGAGACAGGCTCGGTCGGTCTGAGGGGGCAGGGGCTGGTGGGTTCTGAGCTAAGGTGGGAGAGGTCCAGCTACCCATCCCCTCCAGCACTCACAGCCAGACACGGAGCCCTCCGGGAGTGGACGGCACAGCCAAGGCCTGTCCTGAAGTCATCCTCACTTCAAGGTACCAGAGCCCCGCAGCCTGGGATGGTATTTGGGGCCTGGAATCCAGAGCATGCTCTGGAAACCCCTGGCCTGAGATTCAACAGGAGGTGCCCCCACCTGCCCACCAGAGGGCCTGTGGAGCCTTCTCAATCTCCAACCTCATCTGACCTCACAGAAGCCCCCACTCTGCCCTCTGCTTACCAGCAGCCCCTGCAGCCCAGCCTGGCCCCACCCACAGCAGTCACTTCTGAGCCAAACCCCGAACACCCAAGTCTGTCTGGCTCCGAGGCCTAGGATCCCTCCTCCTGCTTGCCCTGTAATTTCAAATACAGTAAACGCTATTGCTCCTCCAATTCCAGGAGTTGGGCCTGAACCCCCTTCCATGCTTCCATATGTCACAATGCCTGGGTCAAGTGTACCCCCAACTCTCCACTCCAGTCCCTAGTTTAATCTGTCCAGCAGAGAGCCAAAGCCACCCTGCCTGATCGAGTGTCCTCCCAGTGGCCTGTCCGCAAGGCCATGGGGCTCCTTTGTCAGGAGGGTGAGCTGGGCAGCCCTGGGACCAAGCAGGTCTGCTTCGATTCCTGGCACCACTGTTTATTAATCAGATGGGCGATGGGCAATGTACTTCTCATTTCTGAATCTCAATTCCCCCTCTGTCAACTAGGATAGGATGATTTGGGTGAAAATAAAATGCAAACCTGTATTTCAAATGCCCGAAACGGCACCTGACATGAAATAAACGTTCGACCAATAGCAGCAGTAATTAGTGGTCGCAGTCCTGACGTCTGAAGCGGCTACGCAGCGCTCCAGGGACCCCGAGGAGAGGGGCCTCGAGCTGCGGGCGGTTTCCCAGTGTTCTGCTCCAACTGCCCAGAGGGCTGGGAATGTCGCCCTCCCTCCACTACACACAGCAACGTCCCCGCCACCACCACACCCACACAACCCGGAAGACTAAGACGCTAGGCCCATCCACCACGTATGGGTGCACACCTGTGAGCACCCAAGAATACAGCTCTGGACACACCCACAGCCACACAAAGCACAGGGTGGTACACACTGCTGTGCGAACCCTCAGGTCTGTGCACACGCTTACACCACCCTCGCGCACATGCGTGCGTGTGCACACACACACAAAAGGCACTTCCGGATTAGGCACCCGCCCAGCAGTAGACAGGAGTACCTGTGTACCTGCCAGTCTGTGGTCACACAGCACTTCCCCGGACGATGTGCACACCACCTTCCTACGAGTGTGGGTGGTCCTGCGGACCTCATCGGCAGCACTCCCTGTGGGAGTGGACAGAGCCCTGTCTGTGCACCCTCGAGCACAGGCACCCATACACACACCCAGATGCGGAACAGTGCTCCTGAGCAGACTGTGGGGACATGGCCACCCTGCAAACAGCCAGCACTCCCGTGAGTGGGCACACACACTTCAGGCTTCCCGACAGTCCACAGGTCTGGGCACCTCTGGTCGGCCACCTCCTAGTGCAGAGACTCCTGATAGTCTCTGTGCCAAGGGCCCGGCTCTGCCCGGTCAGTCCCAGTCCCTTCGCCACCCGCCCTAAGCTGACCATCCTTCCACCTCCACAGTGCTGGGTCCCAGGCCAAGGCCCTGCTCCTCCAGTCCACCCCTCGCTCTCCTCTCCTCTGCCCTCAGGTCCGGCCTTGCTCCAGCGTCCAGCTCAGACCAGCCTCACTACAGAGCTCCGTCTTGCCACGGCGCTCTCTCCTAAGCACACACCCCTGCCCGTCGTCTTCCCAGACAAATTTCCAGAAATCATTCTGACACTCACACTCCCCGCTCACTCGTCTGGCTTCTGCCCGGCTCCGTCTGCACCTCTTACTGAGGCCGCCCCGGCTCTCCCGGCTGCTCACGTCTTGCCTGCCTTTCAGCAGCAGATGGGATCATGTGCCCCTGGTCTCGTGTGGCCCAGACTCTTCAAGGAGTCCGGGTCAGGAAGAAAGGGACTGCTTGGATTTAAAAGAGGTGGGTTTTTTGTTGTTTTTTTTAAGAGAGATTTCTTGTTCGCTCAAAAGCACAGACCTGGAAGCCTGCTGGGGCAGTTCTACCGGCCCTACTGAGTCGCTATGTGTCAGTGTCTACGGATGGCAGCTGGTCTTTGTTTTGCTTTTCAGGAACAAAGTAACGAGATGCCATGTAGGGTCTGGGACTGGATCCTGGTTTGGGCGATCAGTTGTAAAAGACACTCTGGACGGGAAAGGAGATGGAGTGGACATGTGTTAGCCTGGGCAGGAGACGGTCAGGCTCTGGACAAAGTAAGAGACGAAACAGCGACTCTCATTTAGGCGAGGAAAAGGTACACATACATACACATACACACAGCAAAGGAGCTGGGGAGATAGAAGGTTTTATTTTCTCTTAAATAAAGTGTTACGAGTTTGAGTTGGAGAAACTTTTTTTCCTCTGAGGCCCCATTCTGCCTTCCTGTCCCAGACTACCCCCTCCACCAGCCCCGCAGCCCTTGTCTTCCCTGGGACCTTCCACCCAGCCATCGCTGTACCTGCTCCCTCCACAGTGGTCCACCTGCCCAGGACTTGCCGTGGATGCCCCCCACTCTCTGGGGCTGCTGCTCCAGCTGTGAGCACCACCTCCTTTCACCTGTGCGACCCTCCTCATCGCTCATCGCCCACCCTTCTCTTCCCCTCTAGGCACTCGCTGGGGGTCTCACCCACCCCCACAGCCTGAGCTTTTCTTCCAGAGTTCCCTAGGGTTACTCCCCTCGGCTCGGAAACTGCCCCCGCCTAACCTTGCTATGATCCTGACCTTCAGCCTCACAACCAGTCTCTCCTTAAACTACCACCCCACCTCTTTTTTCAGTCATTTCATTGGGGGCGCCTACAGATATGATCACAATCCATGAATCATTTATATCAAGCGAACGTGTACAGATACTGCATCATCATTTTCAAAACATTATCTTTCTTCCTGAGCCCTTTGATATTGGCTCCTCCTTATTCCCTTGCTGCCCCACCCTGCCACCCTCGTGAACCCTTAATAGATCTTGTTATTATTTCATATCTTACACCATCCGATGTATCCCTTCACCTACAATTCTGTTACTGGTCCCCCTCAAAGGGGGTTATACAGCCATCATTGCTATCAGTTATCAGCCATCCCACCTCCTGAAAAAACTCCTCAGCCCAGCCACTTGCCCCCACTTGCAGCACCGGCCCCAACATCCTGGTCCTGGTCACCCACTCTCCTGGGTCACAGCAACCTCTCCTACCTCACTCCCCTCCTCCCCGTCACGGACCCTCTAAACTGCCCCCACTCCAAATGGAGGGGCTTTCCTAACACCACACCCCTGCTTGAGGACCCCCCAACCTCATCTCCTGCCCCTTGCCCACTTTCATCTTCTATTCTAGTCCCAACCAACTTCTGCCATCCCTCAGTTGCCCTCCAGGATCTGAGTCCAGCAGAAACCAGACGGATGAGGCTCGCTCGGGGTGGAACTCAGAGTAGTTAAAACTATCTGCAGAGTGAGGCAACCTGTAGACAGTCACACCGGAGGGAAACCTCACAGTCAACATGTCCCCCAACTCCACTCCGGTTCCAGGTTCACTACACACCTTGGACAGGATCAGAGGCATGAGGAAGAGTGACAGTGGGCAGGGGTGGGACCTGCTGCCTGGGACTTTCTCCCAGGTGCCTACCACTCCTCCTCAGCCCAAGGCCCCCTGCTGTGCTGGGCTGTGTGCACTGTGACCCTTCGGGCGGTTGCTTGGATGGAGGGAAAGGCCAGACTGCAGCCAAAGGCAGAAGGGATAAGCAGACCCCTCAGGCCCCGCTCCGATGGCCCCCACTTCTCTATCCAAGTCTTGGTGGAGTTCAGGGCCTCCTTTTGCAAGACATCCTTCTCCGTTGAGAATTCAAAAGGTACCATGGCCCCCCTAGTCAGAGGAGAAAGTTCTGGTAGTACAGGCTCCGCCCAGCATGCCCAGCATGGAAAAGCATCATCTGGCCAACAAGGACCCTATAACTGGGGAGCCCATCCAGGGTGAGCTGCCCACCGTGGGAGCCAGAGGGCGGCAGAGAATCAGGCGAGCGGGCTGCAGGGGCCAGGCCAGGCCACAGGATGGGTAGCAGAGGAGGGAACACCCTCGCGAGGATTATCTTCCCCACAGGCTGGTTTGGTGCCATCCCCATGCCTGCCCCATGGGCAGTCAGCCGCTGGCCACACCAGAGGTGATGACAGCTCGGAGTTCCCTGGGAGCAGCCGCAGGTGGTAGGGCCCCAGCTCACTGGGTGCCACAGCCTGCAGTACTCACCCTTTTGTGGTAGATGGCGCTGTACTTGGCAAGGTTCTTGTCTACGCAGCCACCCCAGCCCAAGAGAATCACTACCGGCTGTCGAGTGCTCTCCTCCTTCCTCCCTTCCTCTGGGCTGCTCTCTGAAACAACAGACAGGTTGGCTGTTGGAGTGGGAGTGACTGGTCACTCCAGAGCCGGCCACTACCACTGGCTCCCTGCCGTCCCTCTGCCCCAGGCTTCTCAGGAGGCACATGGAAGTCGCTGGGAAAACCCTCCTGGGGACACCTTTAGGGGCGCGAAGATGTAACCCAGGTAATGCTCGCACACACCTCGTGTCTTCTACCTTTCAACCCTGGAGGCAGCAAACTACCCCCCAGGCCAAAATCTAGCCTGCTGCCTGCTTCTGTATGGTCCGCAAAGGATGGCTTCACATTGTTAAGTGTTTTCTTTAAGAGTACTATTTTGTAACAGGTGAAAATAATATAAAATTCAAATACAGGTGCCTAAAAATAAAGTTTTACTGGAACACAGTCATGCGCCTTCATTTATGTACTGTCTGTGGCTGCTTTCATGTTAAAACAACAGAGTTAAGCAGTGACGACAGAACCAGTTATCACTTCTAACAGCACTGCCATCGAGTTGGTCTGACTCCTAGCAACCCGATAGGACAGAGGAGAATGGTCCCTGGGGGGTTCTGAGGCTGTAACTCTTCACAGGAGTGGCAAGCCTCATCTTTCTCCCACAGAGCAACTGGTGGTTTCAAACTGCTGACCTGGCCATTCATAGCCAGCGGATAACCCACTAGGTCACCAGGGCTCCTCTGTATCACGTGCAAAGCCTAAATTACAAGGATCAGTCAAAAAGCACTGCTATAAAATCAGAGAGACCTGTCTTAAACAAAAACATCAAAGCGTGAAGTTGCCGTTCCTCAATACCATAGATCCTCCCTCCAGGTCTAGATGCCTCAGTTTCCCCTTTGCAACCCTTCCCCAAGCATTCTGCACCTCCCAGCCACCCACGTCAGAACGGCAGTGCGGGCACCCTTGAGGGATTCAACATGCCCCTTGCCAATGCTCTTTGAGCTGTGTGAGCAAAATGAAGTCTGAAGAACAAGATCGGGGTGCATGGGGTGAGCTTTCCCAACAAAATTCTTTTAGGGCCGCCCTTGAAGGATGAGCAAATTCCCTGTGATGGGGGAAAAAAAATCCCATCAGAGCTTTCCTTTTTGCACCAACGTCATTTTTTTAGTTTTTAAAAACGCCTTCATAATAAGCTCCCTGATTGTCTTATGTCCTTCAAGGCAATCTATCAAGATGCCCCTTGGGAGTTCCAAAACACAGTGGCCACCACCTCGGAGCCGACCGCTCTGGCCCAGCAGACCCCTCCAAAGCTGCTATTTTGATGGGACCTTTCGTTGGGCTTTAAGGCCCTAATGAGACTAAGACAGCATGTTACCGAGAAACTCGTCTACAGTCCTCCGCGGACGGCAGAGACACGTTTACAGGTGTTGGCACCCTACGACTAACATGTTGGCTACTTACCCTTGTATTTACTGGTCCTTTACGGGAAGAGCTGCCAACCCTGTTCTAATTTCATGAGCATACGGATTTGCGAGAGAGGGTTGAGGCTTTAAGCAGGGGAGGGGAATACAGAGGAGCAGAAAGACCTTGTTTCCAGAGGCGTCTGAGCCGTGCGCAAAGCTGGAGTGTTGAGCCCACCCAGGGGCGCCTGGAAGAACGATCTAAAGGGAGGGGGGCCTCCATGAGTCCAAGGCCCCTCAACAGCAGGGGAGGGGGGAGAGGTGTTTTTCATACGGGCTGAGCTATAGAACTACTATTATAGATAATGGAATAGAGACACAGAGAAGTTAAATTAGTCACACAGGCAGGACCGCCTAAGGTCACACAGGCAGGAACGCTGGCCCCTTCTCCCCACCCTGCGCTACGAGGGTACGAGGGCACAGTCTGTCCCCAGGCCCCAGTCGACGCTGCAGCCTATTTCCTTCAGCGAGAGATGGAGAGGCACCATCAGCTGCCTTTGCCAGGGCAGCAGGTGCAGCGGCCTCCCGGCAGCCTCCAGGAACGGACTTCGTCTCAACTCCCCGTGACTGGAGAAGTCCCGAACAGGGACGGTTTGGAGACAGTGACCTGTCCTCCTGAAAGGACCGGGGTGCACCCTTCCAAGGACCAAGCCTCTTGGCGATGCTCAGCTGCCACCCTGAGATTTACGGCTGCTGGGGGTGACCTGACAACAGTAAATTTCAAGGCTAGTTAAGAGGATGGTAAATATAAATCACTAACCTTTGGACAAAAGGAAGACAACAATTTCCTGTGGAAATTAATGTGATTGAAAAGTTCAATGTTCCTGCTCTCTAGCAACGGTGGCTCTGGCCTTCGGAGATTAACTGCCCGCACCGGCAGGGATCCTGGGCTGGCACGGCAGCCCACGGTGCCTCAGGTCCCAGCCTCTGCTGACAACGGCCGCAGCCAGCCCCACAGCACTAACTCGGGCGGCTATAAATCTGCCCCCTTCCTCGCTCCGGCTGCCATCCCCTGTCCTCTGTTCTGCTGGAGGACCCGCCTCTCTGCCTCACTGGGCCCCGGCCCAATCTCACAACACTCCCAGTGAAGCCCACCCCCTCCCCACACCCACACCCCACGCCCCCCGTGCGGACTGTACTACTGTTCGGCTCGGAGGTGGAGAGTTGGACTTCTGAGACCCTGCCCAGGAAGCAACCCTCACCACCGGGCAGTAGTCTGCACACAGACCACTCCACTGTCACCTATGGGGTCCCCTGCTATGTGCCACCATAGAGGCCCTGGCACAGGGTGTTGGGAGGTCAGTCCCAGCAGTTGTGGGAAACAGAAAAGGTATTCCCCAGGTTGTCCCCCATAATAGATGCCAAACCTCAGGTGCTGCTTGCTAACACATGCTCATTGACTATACATCTGGAGGTCAACTGCTTAAAGGCTATCTGCCTGAAGGTTATCCGCCATCTAGAGCTATCAGACCCTATAGTCGGTCCCACTCTAAGTAGAGTCCACTCCCTTCTGATAAGGTCAAGCCAACTCAGGGACCACCAAGGTTAGGCTGCCATCTTGTCTCTAGAGCCCACTTATCTTGTTACATTTGTGCCTTCTTACACATGTATGCCCCCAGTGCCTCCCCTTCCTATTGCGTGCACACCCCTAACTCATCCCCTTCCTGTCCTACGTATGCCTATTGTACAACCCCTTCCTGTGACACAGGTGGTTACTTGTAATTAGGGGGGCTTGCACGCCCCCGAGTGTATAAAAGCCATGGCACGGATCTGGCTGCTGAAGGCATGATGGTCCCAGCGGTGAGCATTCGCGTGCTTTATCTTGTCTGATGTCTCTTTCATTTTACCCCTCAATTGCACAACTGCCCCTGGGACCCATTTGATTGTGGGGGCTGCTACCCCACAGCAGTGATGGCGCATTCCTAGCGGGGGGTGTTCTTCTGGGTCTCAGAGGGTCTTCCCCTCCGCTGGCACTGGAACTCCATTTGGCAGGAGGCTGAAGCTACTGACACTGGTCACTTGCTCCATCCCATTTCGCTGGCCCCCTTGACTTCAGCCATTCAAGTTGAAATGACTCTCCACCAGGTGTACATCGCCAACAGAAACCCCCGCCCAACTGGCAGTCCCGCCCTCCCCCCACCGACACACTGCCTCCTCCCAGAGTGCAAGCTGCTCACCCTCCAGGAATCCCTCAAGGCACCAGGTCTGCCGCCTGCCTAGAGCTGGCCCCACCCAGTGCGCCACACACCATGCCCATCCCTACCCCAAGCCTGCGGCAGGAGCTTCCCTCACTGAAGCTGCTGCCCCAGAAGTGCTGGGGTCCAGGAGAATCCCAGGAGCTAGGGAACGTGGGGAGGGTAACCGGACAGGGAAGGAGCTCCCAAAAGAAAGGCACATTTGTGCAGGCTCCACAGGAGCCTGCCTGGTGGACAGACCTCATGAGCAGGGGGTAGGGGGCTATGGAAATGACACAGCCAGTCTGGGGAACAGCTTGAAGTCCTGGGAGGGACAGTGGTCAAGAGTGTTGCTAAGAGTGGGTCTGGAGCCTGATCCTGCAGCGCATGCTTACACAACCACAGCGACTCTGGGAGGACTGTTCCCTAGAGTCTCTGATGCTGTAGAACTCTCTGGAAGCAGACTGTCCCAGCTTCCTCCTGAGGAGTGGCAGATGGGCTTGAACCATTAACCCACTGTGCCACCTGGGTTCCTTGTGACCCACTGAAGAGTTCGGACTTGATTCTGCAGCAGTGGAGATCGAATACAGATTCTGGAAGGCGGAGTGGCCTGACCCCACCTGTGCCTGCACAGTGCTTGGCGCCTGTCCCCAGACTTAGCTGTCCGCTTCCATTCAAGGGCTCGACAGGCAGGTGCTGGAGGAGTGCACTGCACAGTGAAGAGGGATCCGAGGAGAGAGCGCTGCCTTGCTTCTCCTCCCCCACCGCCCTCACAGGGCAGTAAAAGTAGTCGTATGGCTGTGTTTGTCATTGCCATGTCGGACAGGAATGCCTCTACCCCCTGTGAAAACCTCTGCTCTTTATCTGCTCGTTCCACTGGCCATAGCTCTCTCCCGCCTCGGCCCTGCTGCTGACGCCCCCCACCCCATCCCCTTCCAGGCTGCAGCTGCCCCTGCATTAAAGACTGACCCCTGCTCGGAGGCCCACCCGACTCCATGGTTTACCATCACCCTGGCAGACTGCACTGGCTGAGCAGCAATCCAGTCCACCTGGTTATTAGCCATTACCCACCTCTCAGTGCCCACATTTCCTTCCAGCCGCTGCTCCCCGCCTCCCCCCTGAATAAGAATAAGTCACAGCAACAAGAGCAAACATACAGAGCATTGTGCGCCCTGGCACTTTACTTATGACTCATTTACTCTCCACAACAACCCCGTGAGCAAGGCCCCATTATTATCCTCGTTTTACAGATGAAAAGCCGAGGCACTGTGCAGAGAAGCCACTAGCTGAGCCACAACCAGTAAGGAGGCAAGCTGGAATCCAGCCCAAGCTACCACCCTAGCCAGGCCCCTCCCCTCCCCTCTGACGTCAGCCCAAGCCTCTGCATCTGACTCCTGGCTCCTCTCCCCAGCCACCCTCCTCAGGC